GGCACAATTTTGGTTTCTCATAAGTTGACCAGAATCGTCAACTACAATATTTGGAGTTGTTCAATGCATATCAACTTGCTTGTAAAAAATAAGCTAGAGTTCATCGATGATAATGGACGTTGAGATGATTTTGAGGCTTCTCTTAATGCTCAACGAGACCAACGCAACGTGATTGTGTTGTCCTGGATTCTCAACATAATTAGTCGCGATTTATCTGCTATAATAGTTTTCGCTTCAAGTGTGGTGGTGGTGTGGCAAGATCTCAAAGAGCGTTTTAGCAAGGTGGATAGATCGAGAATTTTCTTTCTTCATTGTAAAATCTGCTTGTTGGTTCAAGTTGATTCTTTTGTTTCCAACTATTTCACTGCTTTGAAGTTGCTTTGGGATGAATGCAATTCTTTTGTTCTTTTCTCAACTTGTGATTACGAGGTTGCTCTGATATCACGTAAAAACTTAATACTTTATTGAATTAATTAACTCACAAATACAATTATTTATATATAAGTAAATTGATCTAACTATTTATTAACTAATTCGCAACTAGACTAATTGAACAATTTATTAACAATTTTCTACAATATTTTTAAAAATTATTGATTTTAAAGATTTTTAATATTTTAAAAAAATATTTTAAAAATCTAAAAATACAATATGACAAAATTACAATATATCATCTGATAATAATAAATAAATAAATATTAATATTTAATGATAAAAAATTAATTGGTTCAAACTATCGATTTAAAGGTTTAATTGATTCAATATTTTATTTCAAAAGTTATGTAAAAATGTTCAAAATTGTCAATATCTATATATTACAATAATAAAAAGGTGTATGTCTTATTATTACATGTTTAAAAAAGTAACTTCTATAAATACAATAATAATTCACGATTGTTTTCTGTTGAATAAAAATGAACAGAAATCCTCTGTCCATTTTATGTGCCTTTATATTTGTCACCAATGATATAATGCCACGTGTTTCAAACTAACCGTAATGAATTTTTTTTACCTCAACATTTACTTTTTTTTTACCACGGGTTAATCATCTCCTTCACCCTTATCTAGCTAATGATATCCATCGATGAGTTGATCCTTGATGCCTTCATCCATTTCATTGAAATCTTCACAGCCTGGAAACTTTCAGCTTCGTATTCATGATCAAGTAAGCTCGAATTTTGTTATTTTTAGTGTTTTAATTGTTCCCTAAAAGACTTTTTTCTAATGTTTTTATTTGTTTTGTTTCTCATGATGTAGTACTTACTGGTATCTATCAATTTCATTGTTCTATAGATGACAATGTTGGAAGGTTTCAAAGCCACAACCGATACTGTATATGCTTTGAGAATTGGAGCATCTGCAATGAAGGCAATGCAGAAAGCAACTTATGTAATCAAGGTAGTATTATTTAAAAATAGCTATCAATCATTTGAAAGCTCACATTTCTAACAGTATTCGAACCTAAAACCTCAAAGGAGAACAATAATTCTTTTATTGTTAAGATCGTTTGGTTCGCACTCTAATATTCCTATTTTGCTGTTATCTATGTTGACACCTATCATGACTGACAGTTATACGAATCTAAACACAATTTAAAAACTTTTGATGCTGCAAGATGAATCGAAAGCAGAACTGAAAGAACTTGAAGTTCAAGGCGCGGAGTTGGAAGAGAAGGGTGAACGAGATGATTAATCGACGGTAAAAAGAAAAATTGACGGTGAATTACTGTTAATTTAAATAAAATTCATTGATACATGTGGCATTATATCATTGGTGGGATATAGAAAGAGAGAAAAAAGGGCAGAGGATTCTTGTTCTACGGAAACGTCTTTAGTCTGTCGTATGGTATGACATCTGCTATCTACCACGTTCTCATGACTGTTGTTTTGGTTTTGATTTGTCCGTCTTGAGTTGACTTTACCGTGTTGATTCTATACAGAGTGAAATGGGGAACTTTTCCATTGAGGCTGGAGAGGAGGCGGCTTTTCAAATTCAAGGGTTCGAATCCCTCTCTTTCCGCAACTTCACTTAATTCGTCAATGTAACTGACTACACTGACTATAATGTATCAAATAAGAACTGATACTATTAAACCCTTCTTTAGATAGATTTTAGATAGATTCTCTATTCCCAATTCCTTTTTAATATGGAATGCTAAGAATAGCGTACAGGGGATGTAAATCTCCCTTCAGATTTATCATATATGAATAGGAGAAAAATCCCCGAATCAAACCCATCACCCTGTCTTCATTTAACTTTAACTCGGGTGAAAAGGGGGCAGAAGAGTGTTTTGGTAGTGGAAGATTGCTTTGTTGGATGTTCATGCTCAATTTTGTTGAGTCCAAATCCATCATCAGTCTATGTTCAATTTTTTTTGGATAATTATGACATGGTGAGATCACATTTGGTTAGGACATTTCTTTGAAAGCTTTGTCTAAAAGAGCTCCATCAGTGGCAAGTAGATGAACCGACCAAATTTATTTTTGGGTGTTTACGTAGACAAACATACTTGTCTCTCAATTTGTTTCTGAGATGATTTACCGCCCCTGACTTTCTCAAACTACCTACATTCCAACTAAAGACTCTCATTGTGAACGGCTGTTGATGTAGAAATGCAACTCATCATCATCCCCGGTTACTGTCATTGGTCACAGCTGACTGCTGTCACCGACATTGTTGGATCATAAAATTTTCATTTCACCTCTTTTTGACATCTCAAACACGAATCTAATATTTATTTCATCAAAAATGAAATATCAAAAATACTTTTTTTAGAAAAATAAACCTTAAAATTAAATGTTGGATTTTACGTGAAAAGAGTATTAAGGGTTTTGCGTTTGAACCTTAAAAAATCTAAATCATTCGATATTAATGTGGATTTCTGGGTTATTTAAAGCTAGGCTTCCAGTCTAAACAGTGAAGTTAACAGATTTCCTTGTGTTGTAACTCAAATAATATTTCTACCGATGAAAATGTTTCAGAGTAGGATAATGGGTTGGTAGATTGACTCTGGTTACGGCTGTCCTCTTCAGTTTTCTGAGTTTTTACATAGCTGTTATAACATTAAATTGCGATTACAATCGTATCATAATACTTTTTAAGGTTATTGTTATACCATGATTATATCCACCGTATAAAATATAATAGTCTTGAGGCATTATAAGGTAATATTTATTTAAAAAAATTCAATTTATTGACAACAAACATATTTTATAGTCGTTCATAGTCCTATTAATTTCAGTGTATTTGATTTTCTTGGTTTTTATTTTTCCTTAGAAAAAATATAATATTTAATTGAATATATATAGTTTTAAGGGCTTGAATTTCAGACATAATTTTAGGAGATATCCATTTCAATGAAGTTTGACTCTGATTTCAAAGCAGATTAAGTTGATAGTTTTAAGGAACCACGCATATTAATTTATTCATACATAAACGAACCCACCCACAAGGCCAATAGCCCAAAGTAAAAGTCCAATAACTACATTGGACGTAAATATATGACTCCAATTTGATTAGTTTATCTACATGCAATCCTTTTTTGAGTAACTCTACATGTGCTTAATAAACTAAATTATTTTTTTAATTTAAAATATTTTAAAGAAAATCATAGGTGTAAATTGGGTAAAACTAAACGTCGTAATGCAAGTATAAATTATTTTGGTTTAGGAAAATGATCAAACTAAACTATGTTTTGACAAAAAAATGGTCATACTTATCTATAAAGTCAAATTAATACTTGATTACCTAATCTACTTATTAATTTAATCAACGAATAAGAATATAACATTTAATTAATTAATTTTTTTTCTATGGAGCAGCTAAGCCGCTTACATTCTAGAAGTTCTACTTTTTCCAAGTATAATGTTGGGAGATAAAAGGGGTTGATCCAAAGTTTCAACCGTTGAAAGTGGCTGATTTTTATTGACATCTTTTCTTTTTCTTTTTTGAATACTTATTGAATCTTTTATTATTTAAGTAATACTATCTATTAGTTTTATTGGATAAAGAAAATTATTTTAAAAAGTATAGAAAGAGTTTATAAAAAAAATTAATCACATAAGTCGAATTTAAAATCATCGAAATACAAAAATTAATCGATTAAAAATAAAAAGATTCATACGAGAAAAGAGTTTGAAATATAACTAAATAACTAGGTCCAATAATAGATACAAAAATCATTGTAGACAATGAAAAATATACAACATTAACATTAACATAAAATTGCGTACAACATTGATGGCTCATTTGACAAACTAACATTACTATATTTCAATCACAATTTATCTTTTATGATTGCGAGTGTCTATCAGTATCTAACATGAATTTTAAAGTAAGAATAAACTAACATGATAATCAAATAAGTGTGTGGATTTAGAAACACGAAATCGATATCAAATTTAACTTTGAAAAAAAACATACTACAAGATCTGACATAAAAATTTACTGCAAAAACAACCAAGAAATCATTTATTATTTATATAAAAAAGAAAACATGATTAAAAAATAATTAGGTGGTTATAGGGGGAGGGAAGGAAAGACCGGTGCCGTGACTAGTGGTAGAAAATATAAAAATACTAAGAGAGGAATAATACAAAAGGAAAGTAAAAAATAATTAGGGTACAACTCTTATTGAGTTTATCTCTAGTTACACATCATCTTAATATTTTTATTTTTATTTAATAATTTATATTCGAAATTCTCCTCCCAAGAACATATCTTCAATATTCAAACTTAAATTCTCTACCTAAAAATACAACATACTTAAAATATATATATCATTTAAAGAATTTTTTATTCTTATGAGGAATCAAAGAGTTTTGACCAATTCAAATACTATTATTATTAATTAAACAGATGAAAAACAACGTTATTGGGCACTGCAAGCAACCGGGACTAGGCGTCAACATTATGGTTTTCTTATTCTTAATGAGATCACTCGGTGGTTTAATTACATAAAAGTTCCCCGAATTTCCTATTTATTTTGGCCCGAACTTGTAGAAACCATTAGCCTTTCTCTTCTACTTCCTCCTGACACACACAGCAGCATAGACAATGAGAACATCAGTATTCACTTGGATTCTAATCCTCTGTCTCTCCACCATATCAGCGCAGAGCAATTACCACTCACAACATGATCCCGAGGAGCCGAAACTCACCAATCTGCACTTCTTCTTGCACGAGGCTCCCGGAGGCAGCAACCCGACGGTAGCCATGATAGCACAGTCGAACATCACGGTCGACGTCAATAATTCATCGATGCCGTTCGGCACCGTATATGCCGTCGATGATCCATTAAGGGTAGGTCCTGAGCCTAATTCTGAGCTGATTGGAAATGCTCAGGGGCTTACAGTCATCATAGCCGGTAGAAGTACACCACCAAGTGTGCTGTTGCACTTTGACTTTGGGTTCACCACGGGTAAATTCAACGGGAGCTCTATAAGTGTACTTTCTAGGAATCCCACGACGGACATGGAACGTGAGCTGACTGTAGTTGGAGGGAGAGGAAAATTCAGGATGGCAAAAGGGTTTGCGCATCTTAAGGTTTACTCTGCAAATGCGACCGTTATCATTGCTGAGCTCAACGTAACTGTTATTCACTACGAGGGACGATCAGAGATTTAAGTTATGATCACATGTCGTGGTTACGGACATTATAAATAATACTCTCAATGTAAACATCATGGTTGTAGTCTTTTTGTTAAATTTAAATAATGGATTAAAGAACACAATAAAATAAAAATGATTTTCAAAGTGATTTATCACAATGTAGAAATTTTCATATATATTATAATAAAATCAATGGCGGAATTTGATGATAGAGTTTGAAAGGGTCGATTTAAAATTTTGAAAAAATTAGAGGTTTAAATTAAAATTTTCAAAAAATTTGAAGGGTTCAGTTTACATTTTTTACAAAAAATTAGGGTTTAACTAAATTTTTTGAAATTTTGAGACTTAATGAGATTTTTTTAATATTATGAGAGGGGTTTAATTAAGAATATTTAAAAAAACTTAAAATTTAATTTAAATTTCTAAAATTTTGATGGACAAAAAAATTTTAAAATTTTTTGGGGGTCGCAGCCCTTACATATCTTTTTTTTTATATAGATAAATTCCATTTGTATTACCCAAAAAGCAACATAACATGTTGTTACAAAGTACAAAGCAACACAATAACATTAACATGGGCATCAACTCTCAATCCCCAAGCATTACAAAAAAGCATGTTAACATGATCATTCCTATATTTTTCCTATACATTTTAATCTTAACTACATCTTTGATACATGCAACAATGTCCCCTGCACATCTAACAGCTCCCTTAAATCTTCTATAGTTTCTCTCATCCCGTATGTAGTAGATGTATGTGTTGAAAATTCAATGCACCTTTCGGTGCAAGTTGAAATTGGAGAAAAAAATAAATTAAATCCACCGAAATATGGTAAGTCAAAAAAGGGGTTGTAATTGTTGAAAATGAGAAAGGGCAAATTACAAAGTTTAGTCACTAAAGTTTAGGGTATTTACAAATTAGTCCTTAAAACTTCAACTATAAATACCCTAGCTCATTTAGCTTCAAAACCATCCCAAAGCATTCTAGCTTTCTTCCAATACTAGAGAGAATTTAGAGAGTTTCTTGAGAGTTGTTTTCTCCTTTTTATCAAGAGAGAATTATCATTGTTTTCTCCTTGGTAGATCGAGAAAGGTTGTAATTCTTATTTTTCTCATAGTGAAATTCTTCTACCGTTGCCCTTTGTTTTTACCCTATATTATTTAGGGGTTTTCCACGTAAATTTTGTGTCTCTTTTATCTTCAATTTTTATTTTCTCAAATTATCAGTTGCATTTTTGCTCTATCCGATAGCCGTCTTCCGCAACAATTGGTATCATAGCCAGATTAGAGTGTATAATATATGCTTATTGTCTTTGTGGTTGCCACCAAAAGGTGGATCCTCCAACATAAGAAAGTAAGAAGTTATTACCCATTCTTTGAAGGTTCCAAAGAACTATTCACGATAGTGAAATAGTGGGAGCTATCCGTAAAAGAAGCTATGACAACGAAATTTGATATTGAAAAATTCAATGGGAGAAATTTCTCATTGTGGAAATTGAAGATGAAGGTTATCCTGAGGAAAGATGGTTGTCTACCAGCTATCAGTGAAAGGCCGGTGGATTTCATAGATGACAACAAATAGATCGAAATGGACGGGAATGTTATGGTAAACTTTCATCTAGCATTAACAGATAAAGTATTGTCAAGCATCGAGGAGAAGAAGACAGCTAAGGAGATATGAGATCATCTCACCAAATTGTACGAGGCCACATCGTTGCACAATAAAATTTTCCTTAAGAGAAAATTGTACACTCTCCGTATGCCAGAATCTACTTCAGTGACAGAGCACTTAAATACATTGAACACTTTATTTTCTCATCTTACATCCTTAAGCTGTAAAATAGGAGAACAAGAACGTGTTGAACTTCTACTTCAAAGTCTATCGGATTCGTATGATCAACTCATCATCAACTTGATAAACAGTAATGTCACTAGTCTAGTCTTCGATGACATTGCAGCTGCTGTTCTTCAAGAAGAAAATTGGCGCAAGAACAAGGAAGACAGACAAGTAAATCTGCAACAAGCAGAGGCATTGAAAATGATGAGAGGGAGATCAACAGAACGTGACTAAAGCAGCAGTCACAAACATGGTAGATCGAAGTCGAGGAGCAAGAAGAATTTAAAGTGCTACAACTGTGGAAAGAAGGGTCACTTGAAGAAGGATTGTTGGAGTCTAAATAAAAACTCCAATCCACAAGGTAATACCGTAAACACTTCAGATGATAGAGATGCTCTATGATGTGAAGCGTCAACCACCGTGGAAAGAAGAAAAAGATTTGCAAATATATGACTCATTGATTCAGGAGCAACATATCACATGACCTCAAGAAGAGAATGGTTCCATTAGTATGAACCTGTCTCAGGAGGATCTGTGTATAGTTGCAATGATCATGCCTTAGAGATTATTGGCGTGGGAACCATCAAATTGAAGATGTATGATGGAATAATTAAAGTTGTTCGAGATGTGCGGCACATGAAAGTCATAAAAAAATTTATTATCCTACGGATTGTTGGATAATAATGCAAGCAAGATTGAAACACGGAAAGGAATCATGAAGGTGTTCCGTGGAGCCCTTATGGTGGTGAAAGGCGAAAAGATAGCAGCAAACTTGTACATGCTGAAGGGAGAGACTTTGCTAGAAGCAGAAGCCTCTGTTGCCTCATGTAGTTCAGATTCTACAATGCTATGGCATCAGAAACTTGGACACATGTCGGAACAAGGAATGAAAGTCCTTGTGGAGTAAAAGATACTTCCCGGCTTAACAAAGGTATCACTTCCTTTGTGTGAGCATTGTATAACAAGTAAGCAGCACCGGTTGAAATTCAACACGTCAAATTCTAGAGGCAAAAGTGTTCTAGAATTGGTTCACTCTGACGTATGGCAAGCACCAGTTACATCCCTAGGCGGAGCAAAATACTTTGTCTCATTTATTAATGACTACTCCAGGAGATGTTGGGTGTACCCTATTAAGAATAAGTCAAATGTGTTTTTAACTTTCAAAAACTTCAAAGCGCGAGTGGAACTTGATTCTGGAAATAAGATCAAGTGTTTCAGAACAGATAATGGAGGAGAATACACAAGCGAAGAATTTGATGACTTTTGCAGGAAAGAAGACATCAAAAGACAGTTCATAGTGGCGAACACTCCTCAACAAAATGGAGTGGCAGAGCGGATGAACAAAACCTTGTTAGAAAGAACAAGAGTAATATTGAGGGATGCAGGCCTAGAAAAAACATTCTGGGCAGAAGCAGTCAATACCGCCTGTTATTTAGTGAATCGAGCTCCATCAACTGTAATAGAGCTGAAGACACCAATGGAGATGTGGACTGGTAAACCATCTGATTATTCAAACCTCCATGTATTTGGAAGTATAATGTACGTGATGTACAAATCCCAAGAAATTTCAAAGTTGGATCCAAAATCCAAGAAATGCAAATTCTTGGGGTATGCTGATGGAGTAAAGGGATATCGCTTGTGGGATCCCACTGCCCGTAAAGTGATCATCAACAGAGATGTTATCTTTTTAGAAGATAAACTACAAAGAAAAAAAGACAATGATAGCGCTGAAAAGTCAGAGACTACTCAGATACATGTGGAAAAAAAAGTTTGAACAAGGAGATTCTTCTGAAGTAGAACCATCACATGATAAACAAGAACCAGAGAGTTCTGAAGCTCCAAGAACTCGTCAATCAAATCGTGTGAGAAGACGTCCCAATTGGCACTCAGATTATGTTATAGAAGGTAATATTGTATACTGCCTTTTAACAGAGGACGGTGAGCCATCAACATATCAGGAGGCAATAAACAGCTCAGATGCTTCACTGTGGATGATGGCGATGCAAGAAGAAATCGAAGCCCTTCATAAAAATAATACATGGGACCTTGTGCCACTACCACAAGGAAGGAAGCCAATTGGTAACAAATGGGTCTTCAAAATCAAGCGAAATGGCGACGATCAAGTTGAGAGATATCGTGCAAGACTGGTGGTCAAGGGATATGCTCAAAAAAAAGGTATTGATTTTAATGAAATATTTTCTCCTGTGGTTCGACTAACAACAGTTCGAGTAGTTTTGGCAATTTGTGCTACATTGGACTTATATCTAGAGCAGCTAGATGTTAAAACAGCTTTTCTTCATGGAAATCTTGAAGAATAGATTTACATGCTCCAGCCTGAAGGGTTTGAAGAAAAAGAAAAGAAGAACTTGGTTTGCAGGTTGAACAAATCTCTGTATGGTCTAAAGCAGGCACTGAGGTGTTGGTATAAGAGATTTGATTCCTTCATTATGTGCCTTGGATACAATAGACTTAATGCAGACCCTTGTGTTTATTTCAAGAGGTCTGGTGATAATAATTTTGTTATATTGCTGTTGTATGTGGATGACATGTTGGTTGCAGGACCCAACAAAGATCATATTGAAGAATTGAAGGCACAACTGGCTAGGGAATTTGAAATGAAGGACTTGAGATCAACAAACAAGATTCTAGGGATACAAATTCACCGAGACAAAAGTAATAGGAAGATTTGGCTTTCACAAAAGAATTACTTGAAGAAGATATTGTCACGATTCAGCATGCAAGATTGTAAGTCAATTTCTACCCCTCTTCCTATTAACTTCAAATTATCCTCCAATATGAGTCCTAGCAGTGAAAAAGAGAGGATGGAGATGTCTCGAGTACCGTATGCATCGTCAGTGGGAAGTTTAATGTTCGCTATGATATGCACAAGACCAGACATTGCACAAGCAGTGAGAGTGGTTAGTCAGTACATGGCGAATCCAAGCAAAGAGCATTGGAATACAGTAAAGAGGATCCTTAGATACATCAAAGGGACCTCAAATGTTGCATTATGTTACGGAGGATCAAACTTACTTATAAATGGGTATGTCGATTCTGACTATGCAGGGGATTTGGATAAAAGCAAATCTACTACAGGATATGTGTTCAAAGTTGCTGGTGGAGCTGTAAGCTGAGTTTCAAAATTGCAGTCAGTTGTGGCTACATCCATAACAGAGGCAGAATATGTAGTAGTAACACAAGCCAGTAAAGAAGCAATTTGGTTGAAGATGCTATTGGAGGAGCTTGGGCACAATCAAGAGTATGTCTCTCTATTT